GCTTGTTTGGTGGATATTACAAGAGCAAAATTAAGATCTGCCCACCTTCACGATATTCTTTGGGAAACAAAGAAATGCGAATATATGTACATGTAATTGACAATTACAACTCACCGCAGTGGCGTGACAGTCGAAAGGCTTCATTGTAAGACTCAGCAAAACCAACAAAGCTCACCCAAGAATGATTTCTGGCCGAGATAAATCATACAAAATAAACTTTATGGGAAAAGTAATTACTATAACAGTAAGCATTGTTTAAAAATTGTAATGTGTTGATCCAATGCAATAATACTTGCAAACCATCCGCTATCATAATAACAAAAAACAAGCTTAACATCACAATTCCTAACATAAACTGTATTGACTCAAAGTCACAGAATGACCAATAATGAGTTTGAGCTCTCAGATAGATTGACCTCCTTCCCACAGCTTTGGCAGTTATGGCCCTGTCCATGTGTTAGCCTGAAAAAGGGTCAACTCTTCCCGGGTCAACCCGTAACCCAAAATATGCATCCCAGTTAAATTGTACCCAGGTCAACTCACACTTGAGTTAACAAGTACCAAGGTTGGCTGGTACCAGAGTCAACTCGTACTCCAAGTCCCAGTCAGCAGAGAATATGCAGAGCATAATATGGGTTTGGATGCATTTATTGAACACAAATGTCTGTATGTGTAGTGCACAAAGTTCTTTTTTATAGAGTGGTGGGTGCATTGCTTTAACTTGCAAATGAACTTGCTGCCACCTTTGTTACAATTTTGCAATACATCTACTTAAGTCAAAAAAATTCAGATACTTCATCTAAAATTGAATCTTACATCAAAAATGTGAAAAAAACAGGGAAAAGGGGAAGAAAAAGTATTGTGATCCATTTGGAGCATAAAAGGGAGACAAATTATTTATCATAATCTGATTGGGTCATAAATGCGTGTTTTCTTTGAGGGTAGAAGTTGATTGGGTATACGAATTGACAGGGTAACAGTTAATTCGGGTACAAGCTGAAAAAAAAAAAGTGAGCCCCATTATATGGTTATCAATAAAAAAGGAAAGAGTACTATATATGAACACCACTTGACAACTTGTGCACAAACTGGAAACAGGTCAACTCGTACCTTGGACAACTTTTACCATCAACTCAACATAACTGTACTAACTCGTACCTTTGCCGATTCACTACGTAGGCAATTTGTACTTCCATTACAGAGAACTCTTACGTTCACAGCAACCAGAGCTTACTCAGAGGTTAGTATTGCTATAAGTAACTTAAACAATACCAGTAATTTGATTTCTTAGTCATGTGTTTGTCAACTAATTTGCTGCTTCGGCTGTTCTGCCTTCCCTACATGCTGGTGGGGTGACATTAATGTGAGCATCGTGCAATGCGACAATATCATGCATGTACAGTAAGTGGCTGCAGCCAATTTCCGTGTCCTGTGTAGTAGGTGCAGTCATAGTCAACCATTTGGTTGCAGCTCGTCTTCGCAAGTACACATGTGAACCGCATGGTTTTGGCCCATTTTTTTCTGAGTACTCAGAACGAAATGGATATAAGCTTGAAGGGAATGGAACAGCATTTTTATGGGTACACAACTAGAATAGCATCCCTGTTCGTGCTGTGTTAAACGTCATGTACAGCCGGTGGCGAAAAAGGCTCATTTCATGTGGGGTTCGTGGGAGCGGAGCGGACGTTGGACCCCCCCAGTTGCGGGGGGGGTACATGTAATGTATGTAAACACACTGTCAACACACAATGGACCGTCAACAACACAGCGTCAACACCTCAAAAACATGTTAACAATCAAAAGAAGCAGTAATCGACTATAACGTGTTTGCCAGAAGGATATTTTGCCTAAGCCTCAACAGGTTAGGCTCGGGACAATTGCCCTTTCAAATTGGCCGATTTGCCTCGTTTGAACAGCTTAGAAATCAACCGCCAGTTACTTTATTTTTATTTCTATTAAGATTAAATAACTGTCCATTTTTGTAGTTTTAAAACTGTGTTGAATATAATCTATGATGTTGTTTCTGCTACAG